TTTTAAGATGATCTATCATCAAATTACCTGCTTCCAAAAATCTTCTAATTTTAGTAAATACTCCTTGGCATATTTTATTCTACTGTTTTTATTTTTAAGGCTTATAAATGCTTTTTTTCTTGCAACTCTTCCATAATAATCATATTTATGTAATGTATTGCGAATAGTATTTAGGCACACATCTTTTCAAGTGCGAGTTTTTAAATTTATTTTAAGTTCTTTTGCGCTTTTAAATGGATATTGTTTTATTTCTTTTAATATCGAACGCTCTTCTCGCTCATTCAATATCTTCCATTGACCTTCTCTGCTTTTATTGGTCAATCTGAACTCATCACGGAACCTCTTTATAATGTCGTGGACAGTAGATTTATTCATTCCAACCAATACGGCAATTTCTCTTACTGTTTTACCTTCATAATTCAATTTATCTATTAATTGTCCTATTTCCACACTGAATTTTTTCCCTTTTGGAGCCATTTAAATTTATTTTTATTTAGTTTTACCACTTTCTTGATCTAAATGCAATTTACAAATGAATACGACAAACAAAATACAGATTTGAAGTTCATATTTGCATAATAACGGGACTTTTAACATTGATACTTTGTTTTGTCCGATTTTGCGTTGAACACAATAAATTGAGTTAATTTTGTTTTTCTGACGAAATTTACTTTTATCACTAGGAAAGTTGTTGCTTTTTGTATTGTTCAGAAATATAAGTAAGTAATGTGTAAATAAAAGCGAAAAAAAACTACACATTTAGACATTTTTTTGAAATGTATAGCATTATTATATCTGACAAACACTTGTCCGATTATTCGATGGAGCCACTGTATTTTAGTCTCAATCGGTCCTTTTGTTTCAGAAAATATCAAGTCAAAAGGACGTAACATAAAACCTTTAAAAACAAAAAAAAAAATACATTTTTTTCAAAAAATAAATACGGATTTTAGTCTTAATCGGATAATTATTATTCACTTTGTTGTACTACAATTGTGTTGTAGTTACGTCCTTTTGTTTCAGAAAATATCAAGTCAAAGGACGTAACATAAAACCTTTAAAAACCAAAAAAATTCGAACAATGCATCATTTTCATAGATTTTATAAGGTTTTTGCTTTTCCCGTAAAATTAGTAGTAGTGTAGTTACGCCCGTTTGCATTTATAATGACGATATACACATTTGGCAAAGGCATAAAAGTATAAAGATAGGAAAATCGATACGTCAATAATTTCCAATAGATGGCTTTTCCCCTGTTGTTACGATATCATAACAACAGAGCGAACAATATTAAACTTTTAATCGCTATATAGCAAGCTTATAAAATAAAAATATATATTTTATGTGCGGATCTCTAATTTTATTTACATTTTATACACACATTTTCGCGTATTAGCGTTTTTATTCTTAACATGCCGCTGTTATACCTGATACCCCCTGGATATTTTTTCATAAACTATTTTGTCAAAATGCATTTTGTCGAGTCTTTACGTTTTCTATGTCTTTGTTTGGATTTAGTTCATTGCACAATTCAGACAATAACCACTTTAAAAAATTTTCTGATGAATCTTTGAAATTCTTATCAAATATTTATATTTAATTTAAGTAAATTAAAAAAGGCCAAGATAATTCTGGACGTTTGTCTATATTAATGTGCAATACTTATCTGCCGCATAATACTAAGCAATCCGGCCAATTATTGGATATGGATTCCCAATTTGGTTCACCATTTCGCCATCTGTAGAAATTAAGACGTTTGAGAGGAAAATTTTGAGAAAATGTGTTGGCCAAAACTTTCAAAGCCCAACTAAAGGTTCTCAATCTAGCACATTTACAGCACAGCCACTATTGTGCCATTTTGCAACTATGCCCTAAACCTACAAAGAAGATTCGTAGAATACTTAGCTGCACATGACAACATTCTGTTGAATGAATTTTTTACTGCTGAAGAGAATACAAAATAGACAGAAGCTGCTTACCTTTCAACTATAGGTATCATAAATGTAAGATTTGACAATGATTCTGGGCAATATTCAACACCAAAATATTTCACCAAGACAATACCTGGAATGAACAGGGGATAACAGTATTATATAACATATCTGTGATATTTACATTACTAGGCTTAAGATTTCCCAAAACAGTACTTTATTTTATTGTGTATGTCACTTCCTTTGTCATAAGGTATCGAAAATGTATAATCTGCATACTTTGCAATCATTGTTTTTATTTGGAAATCTCTTACGATGTTATTGCATATGCAACTTTTAATTTGTAAGTATGTACTTTATTTTATGTTCGCCGTTAGTCAATAATTTAACGAATGTTTTTATTTATTTTAGCTATAAGTTTTCATTATTTGTAAGATTTTTGCAGACAATTCGCTCTGCAAGTCAATTGAAAGATTGGGAGCAAATCCTAAAAAAATCACGTTTGCCTTAATCATTTTTATTACATTTTCCTTTTGACATTTTCCTTTTGGAAAAGGATTATAGCAAGATCTATTAATAAGGTCACCAAGATAGCAATCGAAATCGGAAAACAGCTGTTTTTTCTCAAGTCTAATGTCAAAACAAGATCCATGGCCTATAAATAAGGTCACCAAGGGAGACCAGCTGATTATCGATACCTCTCAAGTTTGCTGTCAAAATGCATTATTGTGAATTGACTTCCATTATGAAAACGTAAACAAAGTCGAAATTTTTTTGTCTTGTCAAGATCTATTAATAAGGTCACCAAGATAGCAATCGAAATCGGAAAACAGCTGTTTTTTCTCAAGTCTAATGTCAAAAATTTAGAGTAAGTTAAAGGGACGTGCTTTACTTTAAAATTTTTCAATTTTCCGAATTCGGAACGAAACTCTGCACACGTTTCTGGTTCTGATGCTGAATTTGTACCGAATTCGGAACAACATTGTTTGTAGCTGCCAACGAATTCGGAATGTTTTGTCGAAAAAAATCGGAAGGAACATTCTAAACGAATTCGTAAAGTAACTTCGAGACCAAAACACGAAATTTTGAGGGAATTTTCGATTTTCTGCACAAAATATTCGAAAATGGGCAGAAATTAGAGGGATTTTCGGACAATTTTTAAGAAGTTTAAATACAATTAGAGTTTTCGATAGGGTGCTAAAATTTTGCATAGGTGTTATGTTTCCTCCTTCAAAACGTGTCGGTCCCGGCTAATTTGTGAATGGGTCGTGGTTCAGCAACCCTATGACACTTGAGGGCATAACAAGTAAACGAAAAACTGCAACAAAATGGACTAAACATACTAAAACAATTTGAACCAATAACCAACATTTTCGGGGGTCTAGAATACTAGCCCCCTTCATCACCCACCCAACCTAATGTTCCTCAGAACCCCTTTTTTTAGCACCAACGACATATATTCCTTTGCCGCTACATATCCATCCTTATCCCTTTTCCCCTTCCTTCAAGACAAACTAACACATCATTTTCAATGCTAATCTTACATTTATTACATATTAAAATTCTTAAACATACAAATTCATATAATATTAATTTTCTTTCATGAAATTTGTTTTCTTTTTCTTTTCAGATTCAACTACAAATATTTAATAATAAAAAAAAAACTTTAAAATTACAAAATTAAATTTAATATTTTATAATGCATTGTTTTTGTTTTAACACATTGGAAAATGATAAAAAAAATGAATTTGAAAATTTGCCTGGGTCTAACCTTAAATTTGTTATGTCCTACTTTAGAAATTCCTCACCAGTTAGAGCTCCTCCTAGTAATTATTTCTAATGGACTAACTTGCCTTGTTTAAGAGTAGATCCCTAATGCAATGAATTTAATTACAAAGTATATTATTAAAATTAAAATAAACAAGCAAAAAATATATATATATATAAACTTAAAAGTAACAGAAAGCTAACTAGGACACACACAGACGCACAACAAAACATAAACTCGCCAATATCGAGCAACTCCTTAAAATATGCTATCACTTAGCTGTTTGTTTTTTTGGATCCACTCTACCACAACTCTCAGTCGGTGGACGCCAAGTGGACTCTACCACCACTCTCAGCCGGTGGACGCCAAGTGGAACTTGGTAGGTATTTATAATTGGCTCTCTTCGAGTTCCACCTTATCCACACGGTGAGCCACGGATACAAAGGTGCGCACCAAAATCCGGCGTACCACGTATGAAAACGCTTTGCTCCGATAATTTGAATTTTGTGGTTTCGTTATATTTGGCCAAAACAAGTCGCTCTATTTAGAAAATACACCACATCAGAAAAAACACAGACCTTTTAAATCAAACACACTTACATTCAGATATATTACGCACAAGTTAAAACCAATTATTCAAACTTTTATTTTGTTCCAAAAGTTGACTTTAAAATTGTTTCAAAATTTAAAACGGGTTTCAATGATTCCAAATCTTTAATCGTTAACCGTATGTGATATATATGTGTGTATTTATTATTTTTTTACTAATCAAGTAGAAATGAGTTGCTGCTTTTTCCACGACTTCTGAGCAAATAATTTGTATCGCCATATCCTCCAGCGTAGAAACTCACGATCATTGGTTGCTTTTCTCAAGTTATTTATTGGAGAACATCATACTCTCTGGAGCCCTTAGAATGGTTCTCTATTACCAACAAAATGTTCATGCTTGAACAACGGTCCAAGTTCAATGGTCGCATGGCCTTGAAATGTTCATATTTTTTTGGCTCATTTTACGTGCGTAATTCTCTTACGCACGCTCTTCTATACCCCTACCCAACACATAACTCCAATACACAACCTTTCCAACACTGGCCTGTCAAAACGAACAAGTTCCACAAACAGCTGTTTTCATACCACCACTTGATACTGGTGGTATCAACATCAATAAAAATTTACGGACAAATATAAAAATTGAAATTTTGTGGGCATAAAAAAAAGAAACCCCCCAAACAAGCAAATAAATTCTGCTCGCACTCTAAGGCGAAAAAAATGATTGTGGGCAGAAAAAAGAAAAATCAATTCAATTTTGCTAGCTTTCAAAGCACCGGCTGAGCACACGTCTTCCCACCCTCATGAAAATTGCATCATGTGATGCGTACCAGGAGATAAGGCTTGAAAACCAGGTGGTGCCCACAATTTGGACTCCTGCTCTTCTACCATATGCCCGGATGGTATCCGTCACCCTCAGGTATTTAAAATATTCGGATTGGGCTAAGGTACCCAATTATGTTAGCCAGCGTTACAGTCGACTCTGCCTAACTGAAACTCGTTGGCTAACTATGTCATTTTATGTTTCAGGCATGAACTGTACAGGCTATGGCATATATATTGCCTAGCTTGTCTGTTGCTTATGCCGAGAAAATCGGAATGTTGTCCCCCAATCTCCTGCCCGTCCCTTTTCCTTAATTCCAGCTGCCGTCTACTAGCTCACTGCTACCCTCAAAAAAAATCTCGGGGGTTTCCAAGGAAACTGACGAAACCACAGTGTGAGGGTCATAAGGGATGTCCACCTATTGGTCATTATTTCCTTAAATTCCTTACAATATTTGTTTCCTAGTTCTTTTATATACTCTACACTAAATTAAATTGCACTGTCATTAGTTTATAACAATATTAAAATTTTCTTAAATCAAACGATAGCCCAAAGGGCAAAAGCGATATTCGCAAAGTTTCCTGAATTGTTATATACACTAAAGTCTTACTGGACTTATTGTCATCTTTTAATTTGTTCCTACATTCGATTACCCCGGAGAGCTTCACCCATGGGGTTACAATTTTCTTAATGTTAAGTTAACCTACATATTTTGAAACTAGGACCAAACCAATGCCCTTGTTTCATACTAATCATTAATATTAAAGCTTTCTGTAGAATTTTAGAGAAAAATAATCGCTAACAAGTACTTATGCAATCCATAAGCACAAGATAGCCATTACTTTTCCCGACTAGGAAACTTCATTGCAACTTCATTAATTGCCATTCTGGTTCGATGCGCCCAACGTAGGCTACACCCACACTTTTATTTCTCCCTCACACTATTCTGAACCTTGGAAAAGACTGTAAAGCTTTTAGCAGGAGTTAGCCGGGCATTAAAACAAAAGACTTAAGAAGGGAACTTTATCTTACGACTAAACGGACCTATCCTAATAAAATATCACAGTTGTTCTTGAGTATAAATATGTATATGCTATCACAGAGGGAACATTAAACGCTGTACATTTAGAAAAATAATAATTTTAAATAAATAATTAAAGACCGAAACACAACTTACTCTAATATTGCACGTAAAGAAATATTGCCATTAGAGTAATCTTCTGTTTATTTGTCTTTCATTATTTATTGCTTAATGTCTTTAGCGTGATAGACGCCAAGAGGATCCCCTTTTAATGATTCCAGCCGATACATATTATTCCCTAGAACTTCTGCGACTCGACATTTGGTAAATTTTCTACAGAATTTGGCATTTCTGTTATCCTGAAACTTGCTCAAGACAAAATTCCTTTTAAATACCTCCTGACCCGGACGAAACCGTACTATTCTGGCCTTTCTATTATACCGTAGTGCACTTCTTTCGTACGCATTGTGTACATTTTGTTTAATAATGTCCCTAATTATACTAACTCTATCGTCTTTATCCAGAATTCGTAACTCCCCATCACTTAGAGCTTTTAATTTTCTTGCAAGTTTGTAATCTCTGCCACAGGTGAACATGTTATGCCCAAAAAGAGCAAAAAATGGTGTCACGCCAGTCGCTGAGTGAACCGAGGTTCTTAAAGCCAATTCGATTTTAGAAAGATTTAAGTCCCAATTGGTGTGGTCATTATCTAAGTAAGAGCGTATAGCATTTAACACGCTTTGGTTTACTCTTTCCGACGCATTTGATTGAGGCGAGTAAAATGCTGTTTTAAAATGGGCTATTTTATATTCCTCCATTAGTTTTTCAAACTCCTTGGATACAAATTGTTTACCATTGTCTGTATGTATGACTTCCGGTACACCAAACTGTTGAAACACATTTTCAATTAAAAAGGAGATTACATTCTTGCTGGTAGCTTCTTTCATCGGTTTTAGAAAAACAAATTTTGTTAGATGGTCAACCACCATTAAGACATATGCGTTTCCTTTACGGGACCGTGGATACTTTCCCAGAAAGTCCACGTACAGCTTCTGGAACGGTCGGTCAGTCTGAACATCATTTCCTATTTGGGGCATCATATGTTGATTAGAACTTTTGCATTCCCGACAAATATTGCAGTTCTTTACAAAATTTCGGACATGTATTGCCATGTTAGGCCAGTAGTATTTTAATCGTAAGTGACCTAATGTCTTCTTTATACCCCCATGGGATTTATCCTCAGGTTCATGGGCCATTTTAATAAGAGTGGTTGTTAAATTTTCTGGTACCCAGAGTTTAAACTCATATTCTTCCAGTTCCATATCAGCTCGTGGAGCTGTACGCTTAAAAACAAATCCATGTTCTACTTTAATATCTGGAAATTTTTCTTTATTTTCGAGGATAGTTTTGATCATTTCTAAATATGTTTCTGACTCAAACTCCACAGTATCGAATCCTACCACGTCTTCAGGCATCAGTATCTCTTCTACTAACCTCGACAAGGTGTCGGCAACTATATTTTCAGAACCCTTCTTGTGTTCTATTTTAAAATCAAACATCTGTAGTTGCAAAGCCCATCTCGCTAATCTACCGTTTAAATCTCGCAATGACATCAACCACTTCAGGCTTGCGTGGTCAGTAATGATGGTAAAGGGCATTAGCTCAACGTACGGTCGGAAGCGTTTGACTGCCATTATGGCCGCCAAGCACTCTTTTCAGTAACACTATAGTTGGATTGTGCACTATTAAGCTTTTGTGAAAAGAAAGCTATAGGTCGTTCGTTGCCACTATCGTCTTTTTGGAACAATACGGCTCCAATTCCAACATTTCACGCATCGCATTGTATAAAGAAGTGTCTTTTGAAATCTGGATGGACTAGAACTGGAGCACGAGTTAGTGCATACTTGACATTATGGAAGCTGTCCAAAGCCTCCTTACTTATCACAAACTTCCTGTCCTTTTTTATCAGGTTGGTTAGAGGGGCCGTCAATTCCGAGAAATTTCGGATGAATCTCCGGTACCAACCTGCAACTCCAATAAAACTTCTTACTTCTCTAACATTTTTAGGCACCGGTATTTTACGGATGGCCTCTACTTTTGATGGATCTGGTTTCATTACACCCCCACCCACTATAAATCCTAGATAGTGCAATTCCTTAAAGCAGAATTTAGATTTTTTTAGCCCTATTGTGAGGTTGGCTTGCTTTAGGCACTTGGCAACTTTCTCCAACAGATCCATGTGAGACTCAAAATCCGATGAAATTACAAGCAAGTCATCCAAATACACAAACACGTTTGTTTTGAGTTCTTCTGGAATGACTTTGTCCATCAGTCTACAAAGTCTTTGAGCCGCATTACATAGACCGAAAGGCATCACCACATACTGGTAGAGAGGCCGCCCGGGGACTGTAAATGCGGTGTACGGTCTTGAATTCGGGTCTAGTTCTATCTGCCAGAAAGCAAACTTGAGGTCCACACTACTTATAAAATAGGTGTCCTCAAGTCGGCTTAAAATGCCTTCAATATTCTGGATTGGATAGGCATCTTTTATAGTTCGCTCATTTAATTTTCGGGCATCTAAACACAGGCGATTTTTCCCTGGCTTTCTAACGAGTGTACATCTGTTGCTCCACGGACTCGAACATTCTTCAATAACCCCAAGCCTAATCATTTCATCCACTTCAGCGTAAATAAGGTTCTGCACCGCTGGGGAGACTGGATAGTATCGCTCTTTAACTGGCTGTGCTCCCTCGATTAAGTCTATTTTGTGTTTTTCTAAATGTGTTCTACCCAAACCATGTTCTTCATAGGATTTGAAAGAACTTTTAACTTGGTTCAACCTCATGCGCATATCATTTGTCAAGACATGCTCTGTATTCTCATTAAAATGGGCTGGATATTCTTCTAAAACCTCCTGACTAATTTCGTCCACTCCAAATATGTTAGGAGCGAGTTTAAAATTTTTAAAGAAATCCACGCCTAAATAGGCCGTTTGAACCAAATCGGGACATAGATAGAAGTCCATTTCCTTCTCTTCATCTTCATATTTCACTTTGACCCTAATTTTTCCCACTATTGAGAACTGATTTCCTCCTGCCGTCCCTATGGATGTACAGAAAGGTTTAACTTTGGCTTCTATCTGTTCAACTATTTGGTCACAATCCTTACCCAAAACGCTTACGGAAGCACCCGAATCTAAAAGCCCTTTTACACTTAGGTTTTGAATTTTAAAATTTATATATGCTCTATTATCTACGGAATCTATCTTTAAGGAACAACAATTTAGAACCGATCTCTTAACTAACTTACACTCTTGTTTCTTATGCTTAAATTTATCTCTAATCTTTCTAATCCTATTTATTTTATTATTATTAATGACCCTATTTCCAACATCATCAATGCTTTCTATTTGTTCGGTTTGTGGCTGTGCATGCATATTTTCATTTATATCACTACTTATTGTATCCTTACTGTGAATTCCTTTACCACCAAAAATCTTGTTTCTAACCTTCATATAATTTTCCAATCTTTCTTCATATTGTACTATATTATGCCTCTTTGGAATCTTATTAATACTCTCTCTTTCTACTTCTTTTGTCCTTTTCAGTATGGTGATCTGATTTGGAGAATCAATTCCTAAAGTGGACAATCCATTTCTATTTATTGGTCGGGAGCAATCACCGAGCGCGTCTCCCCCGACTTCGACACGCCCTTCATTCCATTTCCCAGACATTTCGGGCAGGTGGGGCAGGTAACCCCTGGACATCCGCATCTGTAACAGAAGAGATTACGCTGTGGGACTGGACACTCGAAATACGTATGCCCGGAGGCTTGACAGTTCCAACAGGTAAGTGTACTCTGTCTCTTTTCCGCTGTCCGTTTTTGGTTCACCTCTTCGACTATTATTAATTCTTCGTCCATTTGATCTCCCAGCTGTTCATCCAGATAAACCTCGTTCACCGGATATTGGCGGCGTGTTTGTTGTGGAATTTTGACAGTTGGGAGAGAGTATTTCTCCTTTTTTAAATAATTTTTCTCCAATTCCTTACATTCATCTCTCAATTGATCAATGGTGTATATTTTCATGGCATATATAATATGGGATAGGTCTGGACGCAAGTTTCTCTTGACGATCCTTATCATGTCTGTTTCTGGCAGTGGTGTTCTTAATTTTGACCTAAGCTTTTTCATTGCATGAAAATAGTCATCAATTGATTCACCTACTTTCTGTTTCCTTTCTTCTAAATCTCGGAGATATTCATACTGGCTACGACTTGATTTATATTGTTGCATTAAAGCCTCTTTTAGATCAGTCCAATTATATATATCTTGGTTTGCTATCAGCACCCAAAACCACTCTTTTGCATCTCCCTTCAGTAGAAGTTGGAAGTCTCGAATCACCTCACTCCATGGGCACCCGTATACACGTTGAAGATGTTCAATTCTGAATATAAAGTCTTCAACGTCTAATCCATCTGATCTACCATCGAAGGAGATGTTCCATTTGTCCACCACGATGGGGTATTTGTTACCAATAGCTGCTGCTGTTTGTTGTTTGGTAACAGGCATTCTATAATTATATTCCGGTTGATCGAATTCTAATCTTCGCTGAGCAGCATTTTCGTTGGAAGGTCTGGCCTTGATCGGGGCCCTATTTACCTGATCCTGTCCTCCAACTAAACCATATAGCCTGGACGAGCCTATACTACAGTTTTCTAATTCGGAATCATTTTGCCTACTGCCTATACTTAGTTTAGCGATTTCCTTCTGTATGTGCTCAAATCCTGCCTGTATGCTCTGTTGGATTCTATCCTCTATTCTTTCCTCCAACTGAGATCTATAGGTATTGTTAGCCTCTTTTATTAATGAATTCACCATTGCGGCGTATTTTTCAGGACTACTCCTAGGTCTGTTTGAAAGTGATAGTTGGTGGAAAGTGTGAAGTCATGTACAGGACTTGGTATACTGATTGGGTTATTTTCCGTTACCGGTTTCTGATTACCCCCAAATGGTCCTTGCAATGTGGGAGGTTGGCTGTTATTTGTTGGGTTGCTACCTGTGCTGGTTGTAGCCTTAGGAGAGCGTTCAATGGGCATTTTGTTGGTATTAGATAATTCTAAGAATTTTTCAAAAAAAAAAAAAAAAAATAACCTTACGGTGTAATATGTGAGATTTTTATCAAATGTTTGTTGGTGCGAATAATGATAGATTGGTAATATATAGTTTTTTAGACCATTGGAATACAAAAAAAAATTCTTTGACGTACAAACAAACAATAACAAGACAATTATATATCAACATTGAGGAAGGTTCAAAGGATAATTTATGGGATGGATATGTCCTTTACAGTTGGTGCTTTTATGCTGGTTATTAGTTCATTTTTTCTACTACAAACAATACTAACGAACATGAACAATTCTATAACTGGGGTATTACAGGGTTAAAGGATAATAATCGAGCAATCTGAATACGGAGTTCGATTTATTTCCTAGTAGATATGGTTTTGTTTCTGTAACTTGAAAGGAACAATTATTAAGTTTCTCTTTCGTTAACACGTCCTTTTAATCACTGGACGGAAAATTACAAAAACAAAATTTTACTATTTTTATCACCACAGTTATTGGGTAACCATGGCTCTGACCTGTTTTTTTTCATTGGGCGCCATTACTGTTATGTTTCCTCCTTCAAAACGTGTCGGTCCCGGCTAATTTGTAAATGGGTCGTGGTTCAGCAACCCTATGACACTTGAGGGCATAACAAGTAAACGAAAAACTGCAACAAAATGGACTAAACATACTAAAACAATTTGAACCAATAACCAACCTTTTCGGGGGTCTAGAATACTAGCCCCCTTCATCACCCACCCAACCTAATGTTCCTCAGAACCCCTTTTTTAGCACCAACGACATATATTCCTTTGCCGCTACATATCCATCCTTATCCCTTTTCCCCTTCCTTCAAGACAAACTAACACATCATTTTCAATACTAATCTTACATTTATTACATATTAAAATTCTTAAACATACTAATTTATATAATATTAATTTTCTTTCATGAAATTTGTTTTCTTTTTTTTTCAGATTCAACTACAAATATTTAATAATAAAAAAAACTTTAAAATTACAAAATTAAATTTAATGTTTTATAATGCATTGCTTTTTTTCAACACATTGGAAAATAATAAAAAAAATGAATTTGAAAATTTGCCTGGGTCTAACCTTAAATTTGTTATGTCCTACTTTAGAAATTCCTCACCAGTTAGAGCTCCTCCTAGTAATTATTTCTAATGGACTAACTTGCCTTGTTTAAGAGTAGATCCCTAATGCAATTAATTTAATTACAAAATATATTATTAAAATTAGAATAAGCAAACAAAAACAATATATATATAATCTTAAAAGTAACAGAAAGCTAACTAGGACACACACAGACGCACAACAAAACATAAACTCGCCAATATCGAGCAACTCCTTAAAATATGCTACCACTTAGCTGTTTGTTTTTTTTTTTGGATCCACTCTACCACAACTCTCAGTCGGTGGACGCCAAGTGGACTCTACCACCACTCTCAGCCGGTGGACGCCAAGTGGAACTTGGGAGGTATTTATAATTGGCTCTCTTCGAGTTCCACCTTATCCACACGGTGAGCCACGGATACAAAGGTGCGCACCAAAATCCGGCGTACCACGTATGAAAACGCTTTGCTCCGATAATTTGAATTTTGTGGTTTCGTTATATTTGGCCAAAACAATTCGCTCTATTTAGAAAATACACCACATTAAGAAAAACACAGACTTTCTCAATCAAACACACTTACATTCAGATATATTACGCACAAGTTAAAACTAATTATTCCAACTTTTATTTTAGCCAAAAGTTGACTTTAAAATTGTTTCACAATTTAAAACGGTTTTTAATGATTCCAAATATTTATGCGTTAACCGTATTATATATATATATATGTGTATTTATTATTATTTTTTTTTAATCAAGTTGAAATGGGTTGCTGCTTTTTCTACGACTTCTGAGCAAATAATTTGTATCGCCTTTTACCACAGCGTATAAACTTACGATCATTGGTTGTTTTTCTCAAGTTATTTTTTTGAGAACATCATACTCTCTGGTGCCCTTAGAATTGTTCCCTATTACCAACAAAATGTTCATGCTTGAACAACGGTCCAAGTTCAATGGTCGCATGGCCTTGAAATGTTCATATTTTTTGGCTCATTTTACGTGCGTAATTCTCTTACGTACGCTCCTACGCACGCTCTTCCATACCCCTACCCAACACATAACTCCAATACACAACCTTTCCAACACTGGCCTGTCAAAACGAACAAGTTCCACAAACAGCTGTTTTCATACCACCACTTGGTACTGGTGGTATCAGCAGCAATAAAATAAATACGGACAAATATAAAAATAAAAAAATATCGCGGGCAGAAAAAAAAACCCAACAAGCAAATATATTCTGCTCGCATTCTAAGGCGAAGTAAAAATATTGTGGGCAGAAAAAAGAAACCCCAAACCAGCAATTCAATTTTGCTCGCGTTTAAGAAGACACGTCTAGAAATCCCGGTGCTGTACACAATTTGGACTACTGCCCTTCTACCATAAGCGTGGATGGTATCCGTCACCCTCAGGTATTTAAATATTCGGCTTGAGCTAAGGTACCCAATTATGTTAGCCAGCGTTACAGTCGACTCTGCCTAACTGAAACTCGTTGGATAATTATGTGATTTTATGTTTCAGGCATGAACTGTACAGGCTATGGCATATATATTGCCTAGCTTGTCTGTTGATTATGCCGAGAAAATCGGAATGTTGTCCCCCAATCTCCTACCCGTCCTTTTTCCTTAATTCCAGCTGCCGTCTACTATCTCACTGCTACCCTCAACAATACGCTACAAAAAGGCTAACGCAAAATTTAGATACGAATGCATACAGGCAAAAATTATAACATCTCAAACCATTGCATCAATGCTGCCACTGATAAATGCGCCTCCTATAAAGAAAATACAATTAACTATTCGGAACATAGCTTTAAAAAAAGTTAAGGGCAACACACCTGGCCACGATCGGATCTCTTACTTGATCTCTTACAAAATATCTCAAAATATGGCAAAGAAAAACTTCTTTCCTTATATAATCTTGTCTTTGATTCCGGTATTATACCCTTTTCATGGAAGTCCGCAGTTGTAGTTGCTCTTCCGAAGCCAAATAAGAGCAAGACTGATTATTCTGGATATAGGCCAATTTCATTATTGCCGTGTCTATCAAAATTAATGGAACGTATAATTTCAAACCGATTAGTTTGGTTTTTAACAACTAAAAAACTAATTACGTCAAACCAAGTAGCATTTAAAGCCAAGCAAGGATGTGATGTTGCACTTCTTCATATTGATTACTATGCCTCCAAAGCCATTTCCACCAGAAATCATATATCTATACTTGCGATTGATTTTGAAAAAGCTTTTGACCGTATCGGAGTTCATGTCATTATGGAATCATTAATATCCTGGGGTTGTGGTCGTAAAATGCTAAACTACATTAAATCTTTCATAACTGGTCGAACTTTTCGAGTGAAAATTAATAACTTCCACTCTAAAAACTACACATTACAAAATGGGATACCTCAAGGTTCACCACTCTCAGTAACACTTTTTCAGATTGCCTTCAATCCGATAAGCATTTTGATCAATAAATACAACAAAATTTATCATTGTTTGTATGCTGATGATGTCTACATCTTAAACCAACAAAAGTAAAACAACAACACCAATGAAATGTTTAAAAAAATATTTTAGATATCATAAACTGGTGCCAAACTTCTGGAGCTAAAATATCACCTTCGACATCATCTGTACTCCACATTTGCCGAAAACAAAAATGTAAACCAAATAACTTTGATATCGACAACATAATCTTTCCATATGTCAAAGAACTAAAAATCATAGGCATAACATTTGAAAACAAATTACCGATGGAGGAGTCACGTCCTATATTTAAAGAAAGAACTTACCTCCAGATCGAACATTATAAAATATTTATTCAGTAGAAGTTACGCCCACATAAACACACTGGCTTATTTAGTAAAAACAATCGTTCTAAGCAAAATTGATTATGGATGTTGCTTATTTGGCGGCAGTCCCAACTCTACCTTAAAATACATCAAATCTCTATATCATGGATGCGTAAGATCAAGCTTATATGCTTATCTGGTTTGCCTTCTCTAGAGAAAAGATTTAGAGTATGTATGAACAGATTGTTGCCAAAAATCCTATCCATAAACATGTCAGTAATCGATGATGACGTTTCGGAAGTAATAACATATAAACGGATACTTAGAGTACCTTCTGTTATTTACCAATGTATACACAACAATATTTTAGAGTTTAAAGAAAAGATGACAACGTATACCCCAAAACATCCCGCCTGGTTCTTCTACTCAGATAAATCCTGTCACATATCGTTATCTTTACACAAAAAAGATAACACGTGATGAGATGACTCCTGATCTCATCACAAATGTGCGACGGGAGAAATTGGAGAAAACAAAAACGCACGGTGTTGACGGTTCCGTGGTTCGAGGTGAACTCATTTTATTTATAATATTTTCTTAACTCTAAACCTAATAATACATAGAACTACAATGCATTTCAAATACATATATTGAATGTGTAAATAGATTTGGGTTTGGACACATTTATGGTCTTTATTTACGATCACCCAAAAATACACACAGACAACAAATTATGTAAAATGCATTCTTATGCGCGCCGTGTGCAGCAATCTTATCTCTATTTACCAACGCACTATTGACGTTCCACTTGAGACCTGCACACACACCATGCGTGAGAGTCATAAATAGCATATTTTATGATCTACATTCTAAATAGAATCTTAGAAAACAACTATTTCCATTTGACTACCTGACTCCAAAATGACGTACAGTTCACTAAACTGTACAGACTGCGGGCCTTAAAAGATCCCAATCTTTTAACAAAGCATGTATAGATAAAATGTATGAAATTCACAAAATTTTCTTAATACTAACAATCGGTTGAGTGTTATATGTTAATTTCTAAAATTTCCAAATATATAAACAATGTCAGCTTCACTATGCTCTTTACACCTAGGTTATGGCACCCGCAACATTCAGCAGCCAGTGGCAGCATGACTCCATCTTCCACCGATGAAAAACTAGGAAAAACCTCTTTCTTAACGGTTTCTTCTCTTCCTTGATGTTATTTTTCTCTTCAGTGGTCATGAAATTACAGATGATTTTCTTTGTGTTATGCAACATCTTAGCATGTGATGTAGCGGCTTTCTCAGGTTCTTTGTTTTGCTTTAATGGCTTGCAGCAGTAAACATTTCCTGGCAAAAGCTTGTAAGAAGGAGGTAATACAGGACACTTGTGTTCCAGCGTATTCCATTTGGCACCTTCTTTATTCGACCTTTTACAAGCATATTCTTTCACGATGTCCTTTTGATCGTCATTTTGAAGTTTTGTGGGTAAAGTCGTTTTTATTTTCACCGCAGCTTGGTATGAATTTTTACTCGTATCCGTTTTCAACTCTTTAAAGTCATTTTCATCGACGTGTTTTCCTATTTTGGGCAGTGACTCATCTTTATCTATGAGTGCATTTTGGACAGCAGGACAGCCGTCGGTAGCGCCAACCGCTGGGCCAGTGACTGTTACCGTCGGGTTGGTATTATCTGCAGTTTCACTATGGGCTCTTAGGGTTTCGGCAACAATTTTCTTTATAGGATCTTCCCAGCCACTCTTTCGATCTTTATCCTTGAGGATTGTGTCTGGCTCTTTCATTTGCAGCACCTTTTCTCCAGATGTTTTATTTAAAGTTTGTAATGACAGCTCTTCTTCAACTGCATCTTTTTCCTTTGCAGTCTCTATTGTTTGTACATTCGCGTTATCGATTTTATGCTTCAGTTTACGCGTTATTTGTGGTTTGTTGTTTTCGACTTCCACACCGACTCGCGGAACATCAACGTGACCGTTTCTAATTTTTGTAGTCTCCGTCTCACTCGTCCCTAAGTCATTTTCATTCTCTAAACGAGATTCTTCATTCACGACCCTATATGTAATCAGTTCGTATCTTCTTCTAAAATTAGTATCTTTTTCTAATACTTCATAGCAAACCTCAAGAAACAAAAATCTTCTAGCAAGAACACTATCTACAGGTAAATTCAAGCCATATTCTAAATATCTACCTTCAGCGTTTACATACTTATGAAAGCTAATTCTTGAGTTGCTCCGAAGAGCATTCTCAACCTCT